GTCGAAAACTTAGATAGAGATCAAATTTGACCAATGTGAATTTGTAAGGGACGTAAAAGTACATTTTAAAAGTGAGGGACGAAAAAAGTTATTTTGTAAAATGAAAGAGACGTTTTGAACAATTTCCCTAATTGTGCAACTAGAGATTAAGCAAAATGTGTACGTACATTCATGAAGTGCCAAGAGAATAGCAAAGTTGATACAAAGAATAAAGCAATACGAGGGTTTTGAAGCGGCCATTGAACTGATTGGTTTGTTACTTGTTAGTCCGCTGTTACCAGGGGGTAAGCAGTGAGTTTTTTCGGGTTTTCATATAGTAAGAGAAACTACACCAAGATCTTGAATTCTCATCACAATCTTTTTGTTAGAGCGATTTTTACACAAATGTCAAAATTACCTTCAATTAATCAATTATATACATATTCTCACCGAATTTCATTTGATCCATTATGCACTAATAACTCTTTTTTCTTCTTTTTAATTAATTTTTTCCTACTATTCTTTGTCGCTCTCCAGCTTACTTCTTTTCTCACTCACACACCAATACTTCACTAGTGGGGCTAAAAGGGAGCCTTTATTTTTTAGGGTAATATCTAAAACCTCCATTGAGGTTTCTAATAATATTATTTAGTGTAATCTCTCATTTTTCAGGGTAATCTCTCATTTTTGTTAAAAATTGTTAGCTTCGATAGATTTTTTTCGGGCAGACCCTACCTAGATCCGAAACATATAGTAGAAGACTCGTTAGGTAAACGAGTCGGATTTGGGTCCGAAATAATGAATTCTGGCTCGGACCTAACCCGTTGATAGGCCTACCTTCTTTTTTCCCACAAACGATAATAGATTTATATATGATAACCACTTGATAATATAAGATTTAATTACAAAAAGGGGCTACTACCCTTATTTCCTTTCTCACTAAATCCATCAGCCAAATTGGGAAATCTTGTTCCCATTCAATATCATACACTAGCTTAACAGCAAATTGGGCTAGAGCATGGCTGATTTCATTTTCTGATCTAGGTATAAACACAAACCTACAACTTTCAAAATGTGTTCTAAGTTCCTGCACATCTTCCAGAATAGTTGCAATGCTGAATTCATAGTCATTGCTTCTAGTTATCTGGTCTATTACTGATTTGCTATCAGAATGGACGCAAATTGAGGAAATTATGAAAAGACGCAAGGATTTGAGAATCCAGACCGGCCGCTGATTTCCCTGCACATCCAAGATTGCAAAAAATTGTTCGACCATATCTCGAACAGAAATCATTCGCCTCCATACCCTGGAAATACTTGGCGCATTAATGTCACTCTATCGGGGTTGCATAAAAGTAGCCAACAACGAGTTTGAACAGCGAAAGATTCTCCTTGCATATGTGTGCGACGATTGTTTTGATTTCTTCACATATTATCCACAGTTAGACGTTTACCTGATTGTATTTCAACCACTCCGAAGTACATCACTGTTATTGCCTTCAAAATCTACAAATACACTTCTCATCGTTGTTGTCTTTAGAAAAAACTACAAGTACGTTTTCTCCCTTTCCTGCATTTTTCCCAGTTTGAAATTTTGTTCTATATCATCCATGATTTAATATATTGTTTTTCTACCCGGAGATTTGATTCCCAGTTACTATCATATATTATTGCGTTGTAATTATTCTATAGGATCAAGTAATTACACATCTTTCTGCATCATGATCCTTTCCTCTTTTTTTTAATGAATTTTTTCTCATATTGTACCCACGAATTGTCATCATTCTTAATCTTCTTTCTCCTCATATTTCCTTCTTTCCTTTATTTTTTTTTGGGTTTTTTTTGTTAATATCATTTTTTTTCTCATGCACGCACATGGATGTGTCTCTGTTAGGACTGCAAACGAATCGAATCGAGTCAAGTCGAGTTTTGGTCTAATCAAGTCGAGTCTTGACTTAATTTTAGTGAACTCGAACTCGAGCTCAAACTCGAAAAAAATAAAAATAATTATTTTATTTTTAAAAAATAAATAAAATAATATTTTTTCTTAATAAATAATAAAATATTAAGGATATATATGTAATTTTACTATTAAAATAATATATATACTTAAAATAAAAAAATATATACTTAAAATAAAAAATAAAAAATAATACTCCCTCCGTCCGACTTTGATAGTCCCATTTCTTTTTTCACACAGTTTAAGAAAAAGTAGTTAACTTTGTTGGAAAAGTAAATTTAGATTGCTATTTTCCTAAAATATCCTCACATTAAATATGGTACAACTTTGTGGGAACTTGAATTGATGGTAAAAAAAGAATCAACTCTCATTAAATGGAGTAAGTTTATAGTAACAACAACTTACATTGAATAAGGGTATTTTAGGAAAATTAAAATACAACTACATTCTTCAATTGGAAAGTGGACTACAATTTGGGACAGGCGAAAAAGGAAAACGGGACTATCAAAGTGGGACGGATGGAGTATATATATATACTCGAACTCACGAGCCTAATGAGCTTAATATCTTGAGCTCGAATTCGACTCCAGCTTGACTCGCTCGCGAGTGGCTCGGTTTGTTTGCAGCCCTAGTCTCTATCACTAGCATTAATAAAAACTTGAAATTAAAAAAAATAGTTGGAATGTAGAATTCCAATGGAACAAAATATGGTAGCTTCTGTCATAAGAAAGACGTGTTTTTAAGGTACAAAAAATTTCTCCTTAAAAGCTTGTTCAAGGCATTTTCAAGCCACATAAAAGTTAACTTCTTTGCTGTAGAGCATTTTCAATAAATTTAAGGAGTTTTATAAATTTTTAGAATTCTTAAAATTTCAAGTATTCCTAGATCCACTGCTTGAAATCTAGAAAAAGACAAAGTGTTTATATTTATGTTTACAAACTTATTTGAGGTGTTTCCAAAATTTAAATAAAAGAACTATTTTCTTCATTTTAATTTTTTTGGTGATTTTACAAGTTTTTTAAGTTATAAAAAAAGATTAATTTCTTTATGTAAAGTATTTGGGTTGAATTTAAGGCGTTTCATAAGAAGTTTATAACTTTTTGAACATTCTAATACTGTGTGATTTTGTCTAGATAGATGATTTGAAAACTAGAAAAAGATTAATTGCTTAAATTATACTTAAAAATTAGTTAATTTGTTTTCAAGGTGTAAAAGGTAATTTTTTTCATTGAAGCATATTTTTTATTAATTTTACAAGGTTTTTAAATTATTGAAAATCTTTGAGTTTTTTAATTTTCTTGCCCAGGGGACACGAAAAATGTTATAAAATCTTTCAACTTCATTAACAATTTGTCATTCACCCTTAAAATACCATATTGGTTAAGTTTTCAAAAAATCAAGGGATTAAATTTATTTGCTATAAAAATTAAAGGACCACAAGAAAATGACAATTGAAAAATGAAATTATCTTCTATGGTTTTTAATCATATGTTTTAAAATGTGTAGATAGTTTTACAATAAAAAAATAATTTTAGGAGTAGAGGAGATAAGTGTTATTTTTGAAACTTTACAAGTGCTAAGTAGTTCTTAAAATGTTTTAGGGAAGCTTTTTGCAATTATCCCGAACTTTTATTCCAAAGTACATCTCTTGGAGCATCTTAGTGGAATGGGTGCGAGTACAAAAGCAGCATAATGTTAGAAATCCTTCCTTAAATCCAGTTTCTAGTAAAAAAAAGGAAGAAATCTTCTCTAGTAGCATATAAGTTTTTTTTTTTGTTCTCAAAATTCCGGAGTCGTTTTTCTTTATTTTTTTTTAAAAAAAATTTAATTTTTCTGGAGTTGTTATAGTTATTGCTCATTTGCTGCAATTATAAAAATTAAATCGATAATGGTCCTGCCAGAGAACAATTGGTGCCAGGTGTTCAAACTTTTAAATAGGAATAATACCAGAAACCTCCCCTGAGATTTCTCTTAATATCATTTGACGCTCCTAAGGTTTTAAAAAATCAATTACCTCCCTTACTTTTGTTTATTTGTGTAACAAAATTTTTAAAAATCCTAAATTACCCTTCTAATTACTAAATAAAAATGCTCCTAGATCACTTTATTTACTTCAAGAAAATCATCATTTAAAAAATAATTTCTAGTAGTACTACCATATCATGATGTTGTAATCCATAAAAATATATATTTGAAAAATAAAAAAAATATTTGTAAAGAAATACAATTGACTAATATAACTCTTCTACTCAAAACTAATTTCTTATGAACTCTATCTTTTTTTTCCAACTTCTTCTCAATTTGTGTCCAAAACTTTTAAATTATACTGATCATTCAAAAATAACTCAAAATAAGCAAATAAATTATACCCCACTCTATCACAATTATAAAAATTAAATGATAACAAAATTTAATTGATTATAATTTATAAATAGAAAATTACATAGTCATCCAAAAAATGAGTAAGAGAGAATATTGGAGAAAATAAAAAGAGAAGAAAGTGACTTTTGTTTCCTTTTTTTATTTTTAGCTCCATTTGTTTGATATGTGAATTGTGTTTCAAATGAAGGTTAATATAATCTTTTTGTAATTATTAGGGGAGGTAAGTATTTTTTAAAACTTTAGGGGTACCAGATGATATTAGGAGAAATCTCAAGGGAGGTATATGATATTATTCCGTTTAAATAATTGCTAGGGTTTCCAGCAAAAGTGATATCACGTTGTTGAATTTGGAAGTTTCCCCGCCGCTCACCTTAAAGTACGGGACTGACTGATTCCGTGTCTTACTGGTCCCTGACTCATTCCGTGTCGTGCCTTACTGGTCCCCTCTTATGGCTACGGTTTTGTGGGGTCTTCCGTTTCAATTGATTGCTAAATGATAAATTCTGCATTAAATGTGGTATTACCTGTCCCCAAAAAAAAAAAAAAAAAAATTTGTTTTCCGCACATTCTTGCAAAAGTTTTATAAAAAATTGCATTACTATTCCGAAAAAAAAAATTCGGCAATCTTTTATGCTGGTGAACTCATCAGTAACAAGTATTACTCTTCCCTCAGCCGCAAAAAGGGCAAAAACAAAAAAGAGAGAAATGAAAAACCTATCTTTCTTTCTTGCTATCTCTCCCCAGTTCGGCAAAGCGGTTTCGGCTCTTTTCCCTTTGACCTGGCATGAGTTCCTGGTTTCACCGGCATGATGTGTTCTCAATGAATTTTTTTTCTGAATCATAGTTCAGAAGTTGGTTACTTATCATTAAAGGAGTCGAACTAACCTCACCCACCTTAACTAATTACGTTGTATTTGTGGTGCATGAATGGGGGGTTTGGTTGTTTTGTGAGCACGTGAGAGTTGGATGATGGTGATCTCTGATTTCACCCCAAGTTGACGGTTTTGGTACAGCAAATGGGACCAGATGGAGTCTTCATATCCCATATAAAAATTGACCCATTTGGACAACATCTGGACATGCTTTGTCCTATGAGGTGAGATTCTGCGGAAGAAGTGATACAGAAGCTCATGACCTTGATGGCATATGTTAGATCCCTTGAAACAAAATATGGCAATTTTGGGGGTATTCCGAGTTTGTTTGGTCTCTTTGCTTATTCATTTGTTTATATTTCATGCGTTTTTCTTTTTTGGGTGCAACAGAGGTGATGCTTGGTTCATTTTCGTCATTCAAATCCACCGCGCCGTTAGAAGCTTGAAGGACTTTGCGATTGTATCGATCCGGCACCAGTTCATGGACTGGCTATAGTCCGAAACAGTAATTTACATAACCACCCACCCTAATTTGACACTGTTTATAAAGGAGAGCTGATTGAATTAGTAACAGTAAATAATCGCGTTTATTTTCCCTGCAGGCAACCACGATCCGGGATTAAGAAAACTTGCATTAAAAAGCTGCGCAGGTGCATTATCAACGTGTCAGATGTCTCCTACGGATGCTGTGGAGCGTTTTCCTTCTCTAGATGCTGCACTCCAAAGGCGTGACGAGTATTTTGACGGTTGTGAGGAGAATCAACAGACATATCCCACTTGATACCGGACTGGTATTATTATAGCAGCCCAAATGTGTGTAGAAGATCACTTATGTGGTCTTTAGGTCACATCGGGACATCAAGATTAGTTCCTAACCATTCTTATGCTTGTTTTGCAAGTAAATTCTTTTGGGACGTGGATAACCTCGAGAGAATGCTGATGGCCGGGGTGTGTTCTCTGCCTCCATTGACAATAGAGAGATAGCTATTCTGTTTAGGTTAACTTCATGGTTCCTGATCTAGTACTACAGCGATTATACGTTTTTCTCAATGCTTGGGGTCTCAACCGGAATTGTCGAAACCTGAAAGTTCTTGACCAAGCTTAACAAAGTTCTAAAAGAAACCATCAGCAATGAATATTCTCGTGTAAAATCTTTCACAAACTTATCCGAGAAAAAGGAAGTTCAGTAATAAGTTCCCTCACTCTCAGACATATTTATCTCCACGTTTGTTTACATATACATTTGGAGATTGGAGAGAGAACAACTTGGACTATTAAATCACTCTAGTTCATAGTCTTATTCACATTGAGATGCGGAATCTTTTCACTTCCTTTCTAATTTACAATACAGATACAGTATTGCCTAGTAGTTCACTGAGCCCGCGTGGGTTGGTGGTAGATATTGAGTTAAGTTCATCCCGTTCAAGAAGTGCTTGGGCGAATTGAGAATTCAGTAGACCAAGAGAGAAATATCAAAGAGTGCTAATTTAGTCAGTTGTTTTTGTCTTTTGTGATAGTCAGATTGCATTTTGAGTTATTCAGCTCCAGGATCCTGCTTTTGTGCTGTCACAGTTCTGCTTCTTCCGGTGCTGCAATGAATTGAATTCTTTCTTACGTTGATTTTCTCTGGTTGTTGAAGAAAGATGAATACCAGAGCATGGACTCTATGGCAGTTTATGAGAGCACCTTCTGTCAGAGTGAGAAAGAGCACTCAGCCTATGTTTACCTTTATGAGCTTGTATTGATCATGGCCATTCATTCTACTTACTGTATCATTAGTTTCTTCAGGGTAGATGGTAGTATGCCTCGTGGGAGAGGTGTAGCCTTCAGTAGATAGAGAAGTTTCCCCGAAATTTGATAAGATAGGGACTTTGATATGAATTTCAGATGCATTCTGTATTCTACTAGTTTTAAGAAAAGAAGAGAAGGATCTTTTTGGCTTAATCTTCACTGCTATCCACATTACGTTCAGGTCTACTAGAAATTAGAATCTCTCTCCTCCACCGTATGGTTCCGGTTGATGTGCCATTGGGTCCTTTCTTCGAATGAAGCTTCAAATCTTTGCTGTGTTGCTTCTTATCAACTATTGTATTGATCTTTCTAGCTGCTCTTTTCTGCCATATATATATATGGCTTCTTTATGCGTTTCTTTTGCCATGTTTCTTTTTCTGTATGTGTTTGTGTACTTCTTCTTCTTCTTCTTCGGGTGACATTTGAACCGTCAGAATTCATTATACTGTTGGGAAGGCATATTTATGGTAAATACCTAGAGTGTTCCCCAGGGCTAGTCACAATCAAACTGCCTCTGAGCAATGAAAGGGGGAAAGCATTTGCTGCACATGCACCTCAGAAGTTGAGGCAGATATTTCGACCACTGATCCACCCCTACAACTTGAGGCGATCAGCCACTGAGACTTCTGTGTTTCTGCTTGCTGCAACGCCCAAAGGTTAAAAGGCTAACTGGTGACATGCATGAGGATTCGCAAGCTGCTTAAGTTTATTTTCTTTAGTCATGGTTCTTTCTTTCATGCCTCTCTTGTGGCTGTGTAGGATTGAGCGGGCAGGTCAAGCCTCTTCTGAATTCCCCTTCTAAATAAACATGTGATCTACAATTAAATATATATGCTACTGTTTTTATTAAACCTGTTCTTATCTTCTGCCTCTGCCTTGTTAAATGCTATGTTTTCAGAACCGGACCGGATAGCGACTCGGCCGAGGTCAGGGGTCAATGGGTTCGACCGGGGGTCGATAGGGGTCGAACCGGATGACGTCATAAATAAAAATTATTTAAAAATTAAAATATTATATATATAATATCTAATAATATATTGATATTAATAAGGGTATATCCATATATATTTGATGTTTCAAATATATTTAACAAGAAAATACAAAGAAATTAGAACAATCAAGTAGCAATTTATATTATTTAATAAATATTAATAAGTTTAGAATTAAAATTATGAATTTAATTGAAAAATAACATCAAATTTTAGGACAATATTTATAAAGTATCAAATATTTGAGGTATATCAATAAGTTTTAACAATTTAGGGGGTCAAAACATAATATTAAAAAGTTTGAATTTTTTTAAAAAAAATTACTGTTGAACCGGAAAAACCGGTTTTTTCCCGGTCAAACCCGGTTTTTGACCGGCTTTGACCGGATTTTAATTTTCTGGTTTTTTAATGTGACTCTGACCGGCTACCTGGCCGGTTCCCGGTTCGACCGGCCGGTCCGGTCCGAGTTTGAAAACAGAGGTTAAATGATGATAAATACAGAGTAGTTTGTGTTTCCTCACCTTTGTAATGAAAGGAGTGCAGTTAGTCTGCTATTCACTTTATATGCTTTTACTTTTTCTGAACTTTTTAAGTTTTAATTTGAGTAAGCATAGTCGTACCTTATTGTTTTAGGTTACTGTCTTCCTACCTCAGAAAAACCAAATCATACTAGACCTCAAATGCATTAGATACATGCAAAGCCAAATGGAATCTTATTATTTTTATGAAATATTTTCTTCTTTCTTTCACACTTTTAGTTGTTTAACTGAATGAATGAATAGTAGAAAAGCAGTAGGATATGTTAATCAGTAATCACCACCGAAGTAAGTTTGAAATATGATCTGGCTACTAAGAAAAAGAAGAAGAGGTAAGGATGTTAGCAATTTTTTTTTAAGATAGAAATTGAGTAACTCCACTTTACTTATTCAAGCTATTGAACTCTTTTAACTTGTTGCACCTTCAAGCAGTAGAATATGCACAATGGTTTCTTTGGGAGGACCTGGAACGTGACCGTAATGGTGCATAGAATGTTAGGAGACGCATGATATATGATCAGAAATGAGTACTAAACAAGTAGGTTCAACTTACATGCAATCTTTTCCTGTTTGCAGCTTTCTTTTTCTTGAATGTCTTTTGTGGACTTAGTTTTTAAGCATCAAATATTAGGCAGAAACTGTTTTAATTTTACCACTCTACAGGCATTGAGAGCATCCTTTTTTTCCCCCTTTATCTATTTCTTGTGTCCTCTACCTTGTGCTTTTGTTCAAGGACTGTTCTTGTGTCTTACCTCTATCACCAAATCCTTTTAGCAATTGAAAGTTGAAAGCCGCCTCTTATTGATGATAAGTTAAAGCACCAGTAGTTACTCTGTGTATTGTAACTCTTTGAGCTTGTATTTTCCTTAAAGTGACATCAACTTTCTTGCAGCTTGGTTTATGCAGAACGATGAGTTACGTGAATCTGCTAGGTGACTTTTGCTGTCCATTGCTGAACAGTGTGTCATGATCGAAATAGCAAAGGCACGAAGGGTATGATTTGCCTTCTGCCTCGAGAAGGTATGTTTGGCATTGTTAAGATTGATCTCCCTAGCACTACACTTATTGATTACTCTGCATCAGTACCATGTTTGTAATTTTTTGTTGTATTAATGCATTCTTGTCATTGCTGAAATGTTGGGAGTTCCATCTATGCCATACAGCAAGTCACAAATTCTTGTGAGGAAATATATTCTCGAGTCATCTTCACTCTGCTGGCAGTCAACTATTGAATCCTTTAACTAAAAGTTAGTTTCACATTGGGACAGGGAACATGAAAAGAGTCTATGCTATTTAGTTTCGCATTGCATTTAGGGGCTTGGGGGAGGACTTTAAGCTAGTATCTGATTATGGCATTAGCTGCTTGGAACAGACATAAGAAAAAGAGTAGGCAGTTAGGATATATGACGCGATGTTGTTTAGTCTCCAAGTACTAAAAATTGAATCCTTAACTAGAAGTTAGTTTCGGACATCGAAATTGGGAGGGGGATTTGGGTGGTTTATTAAGGTCCTCAGGAACCACAAGAGTTGCCGGCTTTTGTGGTTTCCTGTGGAGTTACTTTACTAAATTGCAAAAGTCAATCTGTTGACTAGAAAAACTAGAAGTTAGTTTCGGCAGGGGGCTGGAATGTGAGTAGAGTCTGTAACTTATTATGCTCCGTGTCAGTGTCACGGGCTTGGATGCGTTTCAGCTAGAATTTTGTTTAAGACACGTGTTGCCTGAAGTCTGGATAGCTTCTAGTATTTTGTTATTGGTTAATTGAACCAGGATTGCTATAAGAAAAATGATTATGGGTTTCTGAAAATGGCACATCTTGTGTATTGACTCCAAACTTTAATCTCTAATGATATCATGGCTGGCTTGATTAATAGTTGAGAGCAAACACCGCCATGCATTTTAGATAAATGGTTGGTACGAATTTTAGGTGCATATCATTAACTATGATATTATATGTATGTCTGCTATTGTTGTCTTCATAGTGGGAGAAAGATTATTGACAGTTCACTGGATATGATGATGGGAGGCACTTTATTGCTGTTTCCCGTCTTCTGCTTTCTCCATGACATATAATGTTGCCGAACTTTTGTAATTACAGCCTGTAGGATTTTTGTTTATTAAGTAGTAATAGTTCATGAATTCTTTAATCTGCTGAGTTTTATTTATTATTATTATTTTAAAATGCCTGCCAGCTTTTAATATGTGAAAATTGCTATTAAAGTCCCTGGCATTTTTCAAACTTCTGTAATTTAGATCCTTGCATTATAAGCTCTTTTTTTGCCTATTCTTTATTTTGGATGGAAATAACTGTAGTAGAAAATAGATTAGAGAAAGGGACTTCACCATTTCTCTTTGTTTGAAAATGTTTAGTGGGGATACAATAGCTAAACCTAGTGAGTTTTAAATCGTGTAGTTACCTTCTCAAAAGCTAAACAAAATGTCAGCAATTTTAGAATGGGGCCAAAGTCCTGATTAGAGGTGTTAATCACAATCAAATTATATTGATCCATCCAAACTTGTCCACTAATAAGTAGACTTTAATGTGCAATTAGGGCTGTCAATGGGCTTGGGCTAGCTCGAGCCCAGTTCATTCAGCCCGCAACAAGGCCCTATGAGCCTTATGTTTAATAGGCTTGGGCTGAGTTTGGCACAAAATAGGGCCCAAATTAAATGAGCTGAGATTGGGCTTTACTAGGTTCAAACTTGATTAAGGCCCGACCTATTTACATGTATAATTATATATATATAATACATGTAATTTCATATTAAGTGGTATATATAATGTAGAATTATACATTATAACATTAAAATATCAATCATTTATATACAAATTTATAAATATTAATATATTATTTATAATTATATATTTAATTATGAGTTTGGGTCAAATCCGATATGAACCCGAAGTTCATATAAAATGATGAGTCGAGTTTGAACTTTCTAACCTAGGTTCAAGTCCGAAAGTTCAAAATCCTGAAAGCCCCATTTATTTTTTGAGTTGAACTTAGGCTTCCCAAAGTGAGGCCCAGCTTATAGAGCTTGATAGGCACCCCTATATGTAATTAGCTGGCGGGTGAAGATGCTTCTTAGTGACTGAGATGTTTGGACCCAAAAAATGTAGAGCTTTTGGTAGAGTGTGCTTGGAAAACTGACTCGAATTCCCATATTATAGGATATAGTTTGCTTGCATACTGTTGGCTGTGCTGTCCATGTTCTAAATGTATGCAATACCAAGTGCATATTATATAAACTATTGATGAAATTGGATCAAAACCATACAGTTGCTAAATTTCAAATCGCGTTATTATAGTCCTGTGATTCAACAATCCAATTTTATAAATTTGATCCCAATCTAAGTAAGATTCTTGGAGTTTGTAAAACTATAGTCAAATGAATAGAATTTTGTAGAATCAAGTGCATATTATATAAACTAAGATAATTCTTACGAATTTAAAATTCGTAGCCTTATATGTCATGAATTCATATCAATGATATTTATTTTTCATATTTGTAGTCTAAAAATAAAATAAATTCCGAAAATTGAATGTTTATCAATTAGCATATAATGCTAGAATACATACATTTTAGCTGAAGAAATTTATTTTTTCTAACTACCATCACATTTTCTGCATCTATTTGCACATTTTTTCAACTTTCATGAACAATAAGCTTATAAATAAATAAAATGTTAATTTTTTTTCATATTTTTTAGTAGGAACTTACGATTCTATGATCCATCTATGGTTTAATCCTATGACTTCCAAAAGGAACCCTAGGTAGGATTCCCATTTTAAAAACCTTAAGACTCCAATCCTGAAAACGGCTATCCCATGTACAAAATAAAGGGGGGAAAAAGTAATAAAAAAAGGATGATAAAAGAAAATAAAGAAGAAGACCCCTCTGGATATTCAATTTGGTATTGTAATTTTCGGGCCTTTTTTTTCTGGGCTGAACTGCAACATTAAGGGGCCCAATATGTGATTGTAAAACCTGGATCAGCCCAAATTTCCAACGTTAGGCGCCAAGTTTCCAAGAACAAGAAACAGAAAATCATTTCAGCTGGTTCGTCCGGATCTTTCTCTAGTCTTACTGAGCAAGAACTAACGGTAATTTTTTCATTGTTTTTTCTTTATTTTTTCTTTATTTTTTTGTGGTAATTAGTCTTGGGGTGTTGAAGCGTTGCCCATTTTAAGAGCCGAAATTCAGTAATCCGCATAATTGTTGCTCATATGCGTTAAGTTTCTTGCGCACCACCTGTTCGATTAATTAACGATAGGCTCTTCTAAGAATTTTGGGTTCTTAATCCGCCATGTTCTTACTAAAATAGTGAGATTTTGGATTTAGAAAAATTTTTAGACTGCTTCGATCCCTTGGTCTTTTTCTTTGTATAAGTTTTAGCACTGCTGCAATCCCACTTTGTTCTTCTTTTATGTTTATGTTTTTTCAATTGATTTTGAACGGGGAAAATGTTTTTTTAATTCTTTTTTTAGTTTTGGGCTTTAATTTCTTTGTTAATTTCAATGGTTCTTTTATTTCATTTGCTCATGTTTGCAGAGAGCAATCCAGACAATGTCTGCAATCAGAGCAATTGGTAGGGCGCTTTTTGCTGCAGTCAAGGCTGACACTTCATCCGCATCTTCTGCAGCTGCAGCTGCTGCTTCCACTGCTAGGACTAAACATAACCCTCTTGAGGATTTCTTCGAGGCTGACAGAAGTTCAGATGACGACAAGCCTGTTGTATATGGTATAAACACGTCTTCTCTCTATCATATCGTGAAGTTCTTTGGTTTTCATGTAATTGAAGAAACTGAAGTTAATAAGTTGGAGCCCGAAATTGACCGTGGAAATAAAGTACTGGTACAGTCTTAAATTCTACAAATACTTTGTGGTTTGAATAGCATCTCCTTGTAGTATCTAAGCTTAAGTATTTAATGTCAGAAGTGAAAAGGATCTCTTTTTTTGCATTGTGTTCTGGAGGTGTAATAATTCAGCTGATCTGTCTTAAGCTTTGACAATTCCTTTGAGGATTGCAGTGACAACCTCTTAAAATGGTGCTTCTGATGCTTTGGATGTCAAACAACATTTAGAAACAGCCTTGAGCATGACCTAGCATTTATGACTAGGAATTTTTTTCCCTTTTTACTTTTTTCCTCGATAATGGTATGTTCTATTTTCGGAATCATTCTTATACAGATGCTAAAATAATTTTGATAAGGAGCTATTTTTGAGTTCTTGTTTATTTTATTAAATTAAGATAGCTTATTTCAGCAAAGTAAACCTATACAGATAAAAAAGACAGCAGCAAATATTTCTTCTTATTACAACTCTATGTTGCTTCATACTTTTTCCAACCAGTTAAGGTCTATGATATAGCAGGATATGTGGAAACTTGAGTTCTAGAAAGCACCCTTTGTTTTCCAGAGAGATATGGCATGAGATAATTGTACACCCATGTTTGTTTGGTCTTGCTATCTTTTTTTGTTAGATGATTATCCTCAAATTAATAAATTTTTAGGTATTGTAAATCAGTTGTACTTTCTTTTCTTGCTGGTTGCTCCATCTGAGTTACTGCATATAGCTTATGGACCTTGTTTTTTCTTGGTTAATAAATGAAAAGGTTGTATTCTGCTCTATGGTGTATGTGCAGCCCATGGCATTTTGTTAAACTTATGTTCATGGAACATATTGTTACCACTCCTTTCTTGTCAGTTGTGTGTTCAAAATAACTGTTGATTTTATCATATAGGTAGGGGCTGGAAAGCTTCTGAATTGTGCCTTAAATCATGGGATGATCCTCAGAAGTTATGGTTTGTTCTATTAAAGGAGAAAAACATGTTGATGACCCAACGCCAGATGCTTCATGCTCAGAACCTACGTTTTGCAAATCCAGAACATATCTCCAAGGTAGATTATGTATTCTCCAATTTGCTGTTTTTCTTTCATTTTTCAAATGCTTTTTCTGGTGCTGTTATATAGCCATTTCTGCCATTTATCTTAAAGAATAAAATCCAATGTACTTGAAAAAGTTTCTTTGCTATAATCTTCTGCATTTTATTCTAATAAGCAACCAATTTCAGTTTTTTTCCCCAGTTTTATTATGCTAGAAAACTTCTCGATACTTATGCAGTGATGAACATCATCGCTTTGGTTAATCATGAAACTTTGTCTGATACAAGGTGAACGCAATTCTACAGAGCCTATCACATTTTTCCGCTTTATGAAACATTCCTAGGATTACAATTCTACTTAATAGACAGTTTTTTCCACTTGAAGGCGTGGGAGAAGCAGAGGGTGAAGAGAGAGGACCTAATAGGAGAAACACTATCTGCCAGATACATGTTTCTCCCAAGAAAAAAATCATTTTTGTATTTGAAAATGTAGTTGTACAGTGAGGGGACTCGCCGGGGGAGGGGGGGGAGGGGGGAAGAGAGAGAGGACCTGATAGGAGAAACACTGTCTGCCTGATATATGTTTCTCTGGAGAAAAAGTAAAAATTATAATCCTCACATTTTGTGGCTGATAGTAGCCCTGGAGGACCTGGGAGGAGGGGGGGGGGAGAGAGAGAGACAGACAGACAGAAAGGCCTGTTAGAGAGGGATTCAAATTAGAGGAGAAATATACTCGAGTTTTGCTGCTGATAGTATTCCTAGAAAACACAATCTGTCAGATACATTTTTCTTTTGAAAAAAGCTCTCCTATTTTGCAGCTCACAGTAATCCTGGGGGGAGATAGAGAGTGTGTGTGTGTGTGTGAGTGAGAGAGAGAGAGAGAGAAAGAGAGAGAGGGGACCTAATTGGAGGAAACATATCCTCATAGTCATTGCTGACAAAAGTCCTAGAAGAAACACAATCTGTTAGGTACATGTTTCTTTAGAAAAAAGTTCTCATACTTTTCACCTCACAGTATTTCTAGAAGAAACCGCATGTCCTAGATACATGTTTTTCATAGTTCTTCTGTATAATATCTTTATTCTTGTCAACCTCAAAGGAATTAATATCATAATTCAATCTTTCCGAATATGTTGTCTGAAAATGATCTTATCAGCAAAATTTTTAATACTGACATTGTGTATTTTAATCGACAAATGGCATATTGTAATTCTGTATGATTGGAAATTTATTTTTCTTCTTATTTTTTCAACTAAAAGCTTATCTTGAAAGGTTGGAAAAAATTGAATTCTATAAATGGTTGTGTTTTCTATGTATGGAATTACCAATGAGTTAATTAAATAGTTTCCTTGCTCCATTACAAGTAGGTTGGGGTTGTCTGACCTTTTTCCTTAATATGCTTCATGTTTTAGCAATGAACTTTTTGTTTTACATTTATGGTCTTTCCTAGTTCAAATGAATGGTAAGCGGATCTACTCTTTTATGAATTTCTGGTCAGGTAAAATTAGTTGGGTATGCTGGAGTAGCTTTAGGTGAGTATGATGCTTGTATTCAAAACTGTCCAGCTTAATCTTTTGGCTGTTGTATTTTTATGGCATGAATGTTACAGAAGTAGAGAGGAAAAAAGTAATAATTAACATAATGATGGACATTCATGGACTAAGAGAGCCCCTGAGACCTAAATTTGTCGGAGTGGAAATTTTGACATGATTGGGGAATTTCAACTTGGAAATAATAGTCACAGTGTATAAAATTCTTACTTCTAGAGAACAAGATAGTTGTTTGGTTCTGAATCGCACTGGCTAATGGCTATGCCATCGCCAAAGCTGGTTCCTTATCCTCTTCTTCTTGAAGCCTGAGTGTGACATATGCTTTGAGCCTTTAGTCATCATGCATCCATTCTGTTACCCTAGCACTGAGGGTTCTTATTTCTTCTTAGTTTTTCCTTGTCAGAATAGACAAGTGTAGAAATGCTTTTTCCAAAAGCTTTCAAATGCTCTATAAACTAGAGAGCTTTGTATCTTTACTTTTGTGCCTATTTTGTTGCTCCAATCTTCTAGTTCAGCTGCTTCATGATTTTCAAAGGCTGACAGAGCCATAACTTGTACATAAGTCAGAACTTTTTCCAACAAGTATAAGACTTGCAAGATTACTACTATCTCAACTCATTTACCACATTTGTGGTGAGTGACTTTGAGCCATTGACTACCATCTGATTTAACTGATATTTTGGCTTTTTAACTTTGTTAATTACTGGAATTTATAGTTAAGTATGGGGATATTTGGTGATGACAACCACAAATGATTTAGTCTTATGTCATATTTTCATTCTCCAATGCTGTGCAAAGTTGTGTTTTATGTCCAGTATATAACCTTTAATCCTTAGTTCGCATTGATGATCTTTCTACCAGCCTGTACAACACAAGAAATTAGTTCGGCTATTTGAAATAATCCTGCATACCTGCAAGTGGCTTGGCTTTCACCTAATTTTTGTTCCTTGTGTTTATACTGCTTTTATTTTGGAGATTAGACGTTTTCCAACTTTGATTGAATGCATTTATTTATTTATTTTATTTTTGTATGTGGAATATTTCTACTCAAATCTAATTATATCTTGTTGGGTTATACATGTGTGTGGCGATAATTTCGTTAACTAATTGTGAATTTTACAACAAAGGTGTCTGTCTACCCTTTTGTATATCAAAGGCGGATGCACCATACATCCGATTTCTCTACCATACATGATCACAAGGAACTTTTCGTGTATCCTCCACATGACAGAAATAATACTCTTAGTGAGGTAAACAATTAATTTGACTAAGAAATTGAGAAATCATATCTTCTCATGGTCCTTAATGTCTACTTGGTATTTCTTATAATCTAACACTTTTTACTTGCTATATTCACATATAGGATCAGATCCCTTTGGAAAAAATTAAGGAATTATATAGTCCTCTCATTCATGAATATGAGTCCAGATCGAAAGTTGCCAAAAAGAAAGAAGTGACTTGGATGGATTTTTCTAGACTGTTAATCAACACAGAGGTTGAGAAACGCATTTGGATAGTTGAAGAAGTTCATAGAAGGAACTTGCATATCGTGGACGGATGTTTCAGTGAAGATCCACCGATTGCGTGTACTTGGCCTTTGCCCAATGAAAGGTAAGTTGTAATGTTTCTAATGCTTTTAACATTTATCATAGTTGTCCATGTTATAAGATTGATTTTTTTTTTCTTTTTTAGGTGCACTATAGTTTCAGTTATTGCTGGATTTGACCCGAAGACGGGGACGATATTTTATGGAATCGTGATACGGAATGAACATGGCGAAATATTGCTGATACAATGTCTGACTGAAGTCATTGAATCTTGGAAAAGATTTAATCCGCATGAGGCTGAGGCTGAAGCTATTCATAGAGGCATTAAGTTTGCAGATAAGAATAAGGAAATGTTAGGATATGACAAGTTCATAGTTGAATCTGATAGCAAAGAAGGCATTCATCGGGTTTCAAGGTCTCTTACTTTCTTAAGATTTTATTTCACTTTTGATCCTTTTTTTGTTCTTTATATTTATACTTGTGTTTGGCATTTGTTTGGCAGATGGGCAAGTGAAAATTACCCAAATTTTAAATTGAGACACACATATCGCGAATTAATGGGGTTAACCCAACTCCTCATCAAACTTGTGAAGGTCTCACCAGATGTCCAGAATCCCGATTACGAGTCGATTGAGAAGGATTTAAAACCCATTGCAGAAGGATTCAAGGCTGGCATGTTGCGCCTTATATTTCCAAAGTCCAGGAAGAGCAAGAAGGGAAGGAACCAGAAGAACAAGCGTGAGAATTGAATGATGTTCAAGTTAAAGTAGTAGAGTGAGGTATGCGCAATTTTCTCTACCTTTTTTTTCCCTAATTATTTCATTTCAAAGGTTTTTTTTTTCTAAATTTTTTTGAAAAAGATAGAAAACAAAGAACTGCTTCCGTGTGTTCAATTTCTTTGATATCTACCCCTGTTGTGGTATCAACTCTTTAGTGTGTTCAAACTCTTAGGTCTTTAGATTTTTTTCTTGATTTTTGTCGCTGAAACACATAAGCATGCGTGCATTATTAAACATTTGATGAGTTTGTATATTGTCGATAGATAGTATCGGATGAAGAAATGCAGTATTAATGTTCATCTTTTGTAGAATCCCTTTTATGTACTGGTAGTTTTGTTGCTTAGTAACGATTTGGTTCAATTGGGTCAATTCCAGATGGAGATATTTGGCTATTTGCTGCCTTGTTTATAGGTTTATGTTCTGTTCAATTATTTGACATTGATATATTTTTCTGAGTTCGTTTTACCATTCTGCAGCAAGAATCATTACTTGTACTACGGTCAGGTTATTAACAATTTAACATCTTTCTTTATTTGATCGCTGTCTCCTTTTGTTTAACAATTTAACATCAAAATTTTTGGGGATTCTTTTCTTCTCCTTCTTTTTCCTTTTTTTTAGGAAAAAAAAAAAAAAAAAACCTTGCGGTCAACACCCACTATCATTAATGGAGAAACATGACAAATGTATTGATGGAGAAATATGACAAATGAGCTGGTGCATAAGCCACACTGCGTAATGCATCTTTTTTCCCATCATTTTTTAAATTATTTTTTTTAGTACTCGTGAAGAGAGATTTAAGAAGTTGGGAGAGGAGATAGAATTCGAGCCCCCGAAACTCAAACTTAAAAATAAAAAAATAATAATAAAAATGGAATGAGCATAGTTTACTTGTGTAGTGCTAGTAGGAATTCATGAAGATTTTTATAAAAATTTTTAAAAAAAACACATGAAAATTGAGAACTTCTTTGGTCAAGTAATTTTTCTATTTATCTTTTCTTCTACTCCATAACGCTTGCAATTATGCACTAAGATCACATAATTCTAGCACACGACTTTTTCTTATTGATTTTTCTTTTCTTTTGAAAGAACTTTTTGGCTCCGTTTAGATTAGCTGTTTTTTGAAAAATTTTACTGTAGCAGAGTTTTTATAGTATGTTTTGATATATTTAAGAGTAGAAGAGTTTTTAATTAGAATATATTGTGGGATATTTTTTAAACATTAAAAAAAATTTAAACGATTTTTTAGAGTGCTTTTTAAAAATTTTAATAGTATTTAAAAAACTAATTTTTGAAAAATTCTTAAATCCAAGCAGAGCCATGGTGTCTCATACTAACATAATAAAAACAATTTGCTCTCTTACAATTTGAATCCTCCACAGGCATTAAACAATGCCCTCTAATGGCGTCTTTAGCATAGTTTTGATATGAAAGATCATGGCAGAGGTAGACTCACTAATACACATGTAACTCTTCTCATAATCTCTCCGTGAATCTAAATATATATATATATAAAAAAAAAAAAAAGGACACTATTTAGTGCTGAAAAAATTTCACAGTGATCAATATCAAGGCATCAGAAGACAGCAGATATTTATTGGTTCTCCACAAATTGAATTGGGCTATTACAACTTGGTTCGAGTTACGAATGCATAGATAGATTAATAGAAATATCAAAATTACTGAGTAAGTATTATATGGGTGCAAGAATTCATTCGAAATATGTGTAAATATGTGTATAGCTAATACTCAAACATTTGAATTAGCACATATATCCATATAGAGGTATACACATATTTACGCAGAATATTTGCACATACACTTGCACACTCAAAAGGATATGAACATGTATATTATGCGTGGATACCAAGTCGAACTTGGATCAAATTTTCATTGCTTATGCGTCTAATTTTTTAACTCGTAACATTAACAGCACCATCCTTCTCCGCCATTAACATTTAGCAATTCGATTCATTGCTTCTGAATACGTATTCATCCTTTATTATTTTAACTAGAACTGTTTCATGTTTATTATTTTATTCATCCTTTATTATTTTACCTAGTCCGGTTGCAAATAAACTTTTTCTATTTCAAATTGTTTATTTTCATGCCCCCGCACCCTCCACTGTCACGCAAGGAATCTACGCCGTGATGTGCATGAGCACGTCTGTTTTACTACAAATAACAGTATGCAGCGTACACTGCCATCATCGGGCAAGCCCCATGCACAGAAGCAAAAACCGAAGCCTGGCGGTAACCACAAGTATCTACTCAAAGTTGATGACAGGGGCAGAAATAAAATGCGTTAACTACATAGAAGATATTTGATCAAATACCTAGACAATAGATCGAATACGAAATGCGTATTACAGATGATTTATCAGTGTTTACAATTTCCAACATCAAATACGAAATGCATCGGTCTGGAAGCGTTCGTCATATAATCTCCAATGGCCATACCTTTCAACATGGAAAACAGACCTAGGAATGTAGAAGTTAGGCCTTTTTATGGTTTTCAAATTCTTCAAACTGGAAGATGCATTTGCTATATCACGACTAGTTACATTTGCACATCCAGATAAATCCAGATATTCAAGATCCGAACACCCTTCGGATATCAAAACAAGACCTTTGGCCGTCAATTTGGAAAACCGAAGTTCGAGATGCAGGAGATGAGGCATAAATTTCCCAATTGCAGTAGCATCTGCATCCCCATCTTGAGGACAAGCATCCAGATACTCACCAGGTACAATACCATGATGTTGAGAAGGATCCAACCAATTCATCAAATTCCGCCTGAAAACCTGCAACTTCGGGCAGTGCCTTCCTATAAGTGCCATAGATTCATGAGATATTTCATAGCAATAGCTAATATCAAGTTCCCTAAGGTTGGGGCAGCCAGAAGCTATTTTAGCAATAACTTCATCTGTAACATGAGGAGAGCTCTTAATGGAAAGAACTTGAAGATTGGGGCACCTGGGAGACAGACAATGGAACTGAATCGTTTCAAACGTCAATAAAAATATAAGATGCACACCCCTCAACATTGACAGAATTCAGAATTGCCATTTAGACTTGCCATGACTATTATAGAGGTAAATAAAATTAAGTGGCAAAATGCACAAATTGTAAACCACCAGTAAAGCAATTTTATTGCTCTTGGTCTTCTACCAACAATGAACCTCAAGTACAACATACATCCTAGTCAACTAATAAATAGAAATGTATAGTTTTTGAAAAGGCCGCAAATCAATACTTGATAGATAAAGAGGCAACCCACTCTTTTTTGAGTAAATTTAGCAGTACAATTGCCTTATTAGGATGAATAGCCCAGAATTATGCTCATATTCCCATTTTGCATCGCGCCCCTTTAACATTTTTTTTCAAATCCAAACAACATTACCCTAATAAGCATTAGTCATTAAATTCAAATGCCAATGAAGCCGGGCAATCAGGTTTTAAAAACATGGTTCATCGAGATAAATGAATCTGAAGGCAGCCATAAGAAAAGCAAGATCGAAACAGGGAAGTAGGAAAAAAAATCCTTGGAAGAAATTCTTCATTCTCTTTGGAACCATTCAACCAAGTGATCCTGATTTTCAATTTGTCATTTTGTACCCACCAAATCAGACCCAAATTCAACTGAGTTTTCATCCTATTCATCAAGAAACCCCCTAAAATGAACCATTCTATCTAACCCCAAACCCACATCATGTAGTACTTTTAGAGGATTCCATTGATGAACTTTCAAATGTTTCTCGAACCTAGAGCTGAATTCTCATCCATTTCAAAAGAATAACTCAAAACCACAATTAATAACAGAATAATTGACACATACGTGGACATTGTATTCCATAATATAAGAAAAAATTATCAATCGTGTGCATAAAACAAATCCATCGCTTAGAAAATTCTGATTTGTAGGAAATTGACTTCTCATTTCTTTTCTCTTGTTCACAAGCTACACCTCCAAACAACTATTGTCCTCAGGCTTGACATCGGTGAGTTTGAAAAAATTGACAAGAGCACCAAACATGCTTGTTGGGGCTTCTTCACCAGCGGGAGCGAGGGAAGGAAAGAAGAAGTTGGACAAGGGGAAAAAAAGATATTCAGGAAATAGACTCTAAATTTGATCTTTGGGAAATCGATTAGTATTCAAACATTCTAAATTTATGGCACGAAACTGGGATTAGAATTATGTGAGCTAGCCTTAATCCATAATTCCAAATTGACAACTAAATTAAACATAAATTAACGACAAAAAAACACGCACACACGTTTTTCACCTTAAAATTCAGGGAAAACGAAAAAGAAAATTCATAAAATGAAAGAAAAAAAATTCAAACATCAAAGTTTAGACCTTTCAGAAACTAAAGAGAGAGAGCGGTTAGAGCAGTGTCTGACGCGGATTTCAGTGAGGGATCCATCGCTCCAAGCGACGACGGATAGAAGCATGGCATCGATTTTGCGTTCGAACTCGGGAGTCCAGTAACGGGGCAACTCAGTGGATGAGTCGAAGCGAGTTTCGAGGTCAAAGACCGAGTTGAGACAGGGCTCCTTGCAGGCGTGCAGCCATGGCTTGCAGACGAGCATAGCTCCCCGCCATCGGTCTTCGAGTGATACGCGGGAAAGGATGTTAACGAGACACTCGTGAGTCATATCGCCCCAGTCGTGACTCGGTCCCGACTCGGATGTTCCTCCTTCTTTGTCGTCCATTTTGCCTTCTGTTGGCGGTGGTGGTTGTGCCAAATCCCTTCGAGTTTTGATGCGTGAAATACTATACTACAGGGGTCGATTCGCGCGATGCGTGACTTTGTGTGCAAATAAGAAAAAATATTTGTAAAATTTTTTGAATATTTGTAAAATTTTTTGAATATATTTGTTGACATAAAATGTATAAACATGTCCAAATTAATTATTTGGCGGTGAAACATGACCATAACCGGTAGTTGCTAAACTAATTAGTGAGATTTATCAGATTTGTTGAAAATTAGAATCATAAAAAATACATGCTATTTGGTAGAAAGACATATTAATAATGAATAATTATCAAGAATAGTTTTTAAAAAAACATAAAATGATAAAGTCTTTTTGATATCAAAAAGCCCCCTCTCCATTTATATATATAGTATACATATCATAAGGCTTTAGTGTAACTAAAAATGATCTTTAAAAAAAGGTGAAAAGAAAAATGGATGAGATTAATGTTCAAAAACTATTGGAAGAGAAAAATTATCGATGGAAAAATTAATGTTCATGGAGCATGTTTCAAAAAAAATTAAAAAATTAAAAAATTGTTCATGGATCGCTTGAAAGTTGAAAGACCATATATAATCCCTAAGTAACAAGAACTACTAACCATCTTGATATCAATTAAATCACACAAGGGCAAAATCAGGATATTACACAAATCAATTGCTTTTAGTATTTTACCACACCATAAACCAGTTGCATAAAATAAATTCCAATGTGCTATTTGTAAATGCACAGGAATGATTACGTATCATTGGGCCGGCCACAGTTGAGAAAATACTAGATTCAGGCCGTAAATAAGGCCCAAATATGCTTTTATGTGTTTTTCCCCCACAATCTACGTACAAGAAATTTCAACGTGTTCGAAGCCTAATCCAGTAATCCTAATCGTAGGGCATAAAGACATTGCGTTGACTTAAAGATGAGTTAAGGATTAGAGATGTAGTAATTAAATTCAAATATTTGCTTACTTTTCATGTTTTTTTGGTAAATAAATCTCGACGATTAATGGATACTCAATATTTATCCTCATAAAAGCGTGTTGGGAAACTATTTAGAGAAAAGACGCGGGGGAGAAGCAGTGCAACATCATAGACAAACTAAAACTGATTTGTGTGACATCTGATCCGGGTTACACATTAAACGATGTACCACGAAATTCCAACACAAATATGCTAGGATGCAACATTTCCTAATCACTCCAAAAGCAAGTTAACATGACATGTTCAACATGCAGATATCATTGGTAAACAGAAAGGTATAACCTAGCTTCATATATGGACACCATAACGAGGGGGAAGCAGCAGAAACGGAAAAGAGAAGGCCATGCGAATCAGGATTGACCTGCAGGCTCTTCTTGCAGACAGAAGTGTTTTGGGTTTCAACTTCCTGAATTCTAACGCCTATTGTTAGTTTCTCAATCACCTAATAGCATAGCTAACTCAAAGCTTCAATCCGCCCACCCTCCAACCCCCAAACCACCTCCCTGAAAAGAAAATAACACCCAGATGCCAGAATCGATCTACATTTACAGCTTTGGCATCAAAGTAAGCAAAAAGCAAGAAAAATGCAGATGGAAATGTAAAAACGAAACTCCCATTATTGTTATCATGATGATCAATCCTGTGGCAATATTCAATAGACCAGTCCAACAACGCCACCATTGTATAAGCACTTCTTAAGTACATGGATAGGATCAACAACGCCAATACCTCCTAAGAAAACAGCAACTTTCAACTGAAAATTTTTGATATATCGACAAAACAAGGTTCAAAATTCTACAACATTACAAGTAAAGCACATGCGTTAATAAACTCTTGAACAATGGAAACAGGAAAATCCAGAGTCTCAGGGAACAATAACCACATGAACATCGGCATAAAAATTCATAATTGGTTTTAATTGGAAAGCCAAATTCCACAGGGCAGTGCTAGGCAAGGGGCTCATAGTACTCGCCGCGGGACATATCCCGATCGATGAAGAGAATTGCGTAGAGAGCATAGATTATTCCCGGAACGTACCCGAGGATGGTCAATACTAAGCAGATAAAGAACTCTACCTGCCCAAAATTCACCCAAGCATTGGAAAAAAAAAAAAAAGATACAAGAATTAATTAAATTGAGCATCTAATCTAGGTAAAATGAAGAAGAAGAAGGACGAGGCTTACAGTGCAGCAGCCATGCCGGAGACAAACGCCGAGAGGGGGAAGGAGGATCGCCAGTATAATCTCGCAGCAGATTTCACATCTGGACGCCATTCTTCAGCCTGATCCTTGTTTATCCAGACGAAGCGATATTTTTCTTTCTCCTTTTTTACTTGTTTTTGCGCGTTCCTGGAAGATTGATTTGGGGGAAAGGAATAGAAAAAGGTGGATTTATCGAAATTTTTGGGGATTCTTTTCTTCTCCTTCTTTTTCCTTTTTTTTTTTTTTTAAAAAAAAAACTTGCGGTCAACACCCTCTGTCATTAATGGAGAAACATGACAAATGTATTGATGGAGAAATATGACAAATGAGCCACACTGCGTAATGCATCTTTTTTCCCGTCATTTTTTAAATTATTTTTTTTAGGACCCGTGAAGAGAGATTTAAGAAGTCGGGAGAGGGGATAGAATTCGAGCCCCCGAAACTCAAACTTAAAAATAAAAATAAAAATGGAATGAGCATAATAGTTTACTTGTGTAGTACTAGTAGGAATTCATGAAGATTTCTATAAATTTTTTTTTAAAAAAAAAACACATGAAAATTGAGAACTTCTTTGGTCAAGTAATTTTTCTATTTATCTTTTCTTCTACTCTATAACGCTTGCAATTATGCACTAAGATCACATAATTCTAGCACGCGACTTTTTCTTATTGATTTTTCTTTTCTTTTGAAAGAACTTTTTGGCTCCGTTTAGATTAGGTGTTTTTTGAAAAATTTTATTGTAGCAGAGTTTTTATAGTATGTTTTGGGATATTTAAGAGTAGAAGAGTTTTTAATTAGAATATATTTTGGGATATTTTTTAAACATAAAAAAAAATTTCAACTATTTTTTAGAGTGCTTTTTAAAAATTTTAATAGTATTTAAAAAACTAATTTTTGAAAAATTCTTAAATCCAAGCAGAGCCATGGTGTCTCATACTAACAAGCATTAAACAATGCCCTCTAATGGCGTCTTTAGCATAGTTTTGAAGATATGAAAGATCATGGCAGAGGTTGACTCACTAATACATATGTAACTCTTCTCATAATCTCTCGGTGAATCTAAATAAATAAAAAAAAAAGGACACTATTTAGTGCTGAAAAAATGTCACAGCGATCAATGTCAAGGCATCAGATATTTATTGGTTCTCCACAAATTGAATTGGGCTATTACAACTTGGTTCGAGTTTAATAGAAATATCAAAATTACTGAATAAGTATGTGGGTGCAAGAATTCTAATATGGAAGTAGAAAAATAGGAAGGGGAATATTGGAAAATGTGAATATTATGGAGAGAGAGAGAGGACTATGCAGTGAGAGGACGCCACTGATCGTCCGGGTGGGAGCCTCTAACCACTATGGCGTAGACGGCGTAGATAATGCCCGGGATGTAACCTAAAAGCGTCAGGACCAAGCATATGAAGAACTCGCACTGCCACAGATTCACAAACGTTCATCAGTAATTATAACTCATCTATTTGTCTGTCCAAAGAAATTGATTCATCTCTTTGTGCATGTGAAATTGGAATTTGGATCAAGGGTTTCAACAATAATTAATTACGCTAAGCAAATACTCCACCATCCGGGACAATGAATGTGGCCTCGTTCTCTTCTCGGTTGATTTTTTTATATTTTACAGAATCTATAATCATTAAAACTGATTATGGAATCAGCACAAGCTACTTTTTAGGTGATTTTAGTTTTTTTAATCATTTAAAAAAAATCTATAATCAGACTATAAAAGCAACCAAAAAACATCGCAAAAAAACTAATTCTCTAAAATCAGAATCTATAATCAGTTAAAACAATCAATCGATAACAAGCCCGATGTACATTCGATGTTCATTGAAAGCAGTGATGTATATATGAAGAAAATATTAATGGATTTTAAAAAACTGGAAGTGGTGTCGTATATGTGTGAATTGAAGTATAATCATCAATCTTTAGGAAGTATCATTATTGATCTTGTTCGAAACCCTAGCATTTTGACAGGATTTGCTTGGAGGGTGTGTGGGAGAGAGAGAGTGTGCGTAGCTTACGCTGCAGCAGCCATCTCTTAGGCAAACACCGAGTGGCGGGATGAATATTGCGATGAGGATCTCTAAGAAGACTTCACATCTAGATGCCATCCTGATAGCTGATTCCTGCTGCCGTAAAGAGTTGGAAGAAATGGTGTGGGGATTAATTCTACTTTGGGGTTCAAGATATAGGAGAAAAATTCAAAGTTTGCATTGATGATTAATCAAGGAAATAAGAAATTCTCGGATCACATTTTGACCTAGTAAAGTGTAACAAATGGTCAAATCGTTGTTATAAAGAATGGAAAAAAGGTCAGCCTTGGTGAGCCCAAACAGAGCCCACATTCGCAATATTTGATGTGGCATTACTTATGTTGTAACATAATCAAACCTTAATTTTTAGAGCAAGTAAAGAAAGACAAGACAAAATTGACAAAAAAAAAAAAAAAAAAAAAAAAAGAGGAGAGACGAGATAACAACCTCAGTGAAAGTTCAAACATAAGCAAGAAGAATTCACTGCCAATCTCCTTGAAATTATTTTTCTTGCTTTGTTTTCATATTCCTTTTGCCTAGTGCATTGTTGTTGTCACTGTAATTATGTGCTCTATTAGTTACAAAATTACTTGGTTCTTAGTTTGGTTTTGCAAAAGTAAACGATGATATTGATTCTTCAAAGCCAAAAGAGAGCTTATCTACCAAATTGTTGAGTAAAGGTAATAATTTGGTGACTAGAAGTCTCGATTTGAGAAAAGGAAAGAGGCAAAGAGTTGCCAGGGAGGGAATTCTCTGCTACTGAAGGAGATTACCAAATCAGTTTTATAGGAGTGCGCGGTCATTTAATTATCTTTGACGATAGTTTTGTCATGAAAAATCTTATTATGGAGTGGCTCCAGCTTTTTGAGGAGTGCTAGCATCATCAACCTACAAAAAGTACCAAAATAAATGTTTCTAATTTTTTGTTTTTTTAGACTTAAAAATTCTAAAATAAAAATATAAAAAGCAATTGAGAACACAATAAGATAATTTTTTCAAATTCAAAATTTAAAATCAAGTTTTGAAAATCAGTTGAGAACAAGGTTGAAATTTTATTGACATATATATTCAAAATCATTTCATTTCCTTCTGAAAACTTCCAAACAATATCAAAATCTCTTCTCTTTTCTTCCATACTTTTCTTTCATAACTTATTATTTCGCTTTTTTTTTTTGTTTTTTCTTTTCTAACCTAAACTCCCAAACTAGGAGAGTAGAGAAAAGAAAAGGTATGTAGCATGTCGAATTTACAATTTGCTCTTCTATTCAAATAACTACATCTTTGCTTAATGGGTAAAAATAATTCAGTTCGTTTGGATGGAAGAAATAGTTTAAGTTGGAGATTGGAGAGCGTTGGGTTTGTGTTTTTATCCTTTCTTTTCTTCGCAAAGGCTGCTGGAAATGGAAAGAAAGTTACATTTGTTTATTCTACTTGTTTGGAATGACTTTTTTCTCAAAATTTTTTTTTACATATATCATAACCCCATTTTCTAATCACTTTTTTTTTTCATCACATACATTAAATTGTTGCGATACATTTTTCTATAAAAACTATAAAAAAATAGCAATCCAAATGAGATATTTTTCTGGGGAAAGGCACCATATGCTCTTAATTTGTGCAGATTTCTGAAACAATTAGGCACCACTGGTCTACCTTGTTTGGATTGCATTTTTCTGAATTTTTTATAAAAAAAATTACTGTAAGTCTGTAACGATTTGTATATATATGAGGAAAAAAGGTGATTGCAAAATGTGTTCACGAAAAACGTAACAATTTTTACTTGAAAAATGGCAATCCAAACACACCTAGCTACTAGTTATGTTTCTTATTTCAACCAATCTGGGGTTTCTGAAATCTTAGAAGTTATTTACAGCTAAATCTCAACAGCATGGCAAATATGCTACATTAGGCAAAATTACACAAGCTAAAGTTACAGACATTTGAATTGCAGCCATGACCGGGGATGGGGTTTTTGGGGGGAGGGGAGGGGGGTTGTCGGGGCGGGAACAGTAACTGGAATTACTGCCTTTGGAAATCAGGTTGCATCTCTCCAACAATTTCAGCAGCTAGATATTTATGCAGAAGGTTAACCTGAAATATAACAGTCAAGACCATTATCATGTCTTCTCGCTGCCTGATAATCATCTTCCTAACACAGCCCCATCAGCATCTTCATTATTTATATTATCTCCTATGGTAGCTTCATCAGCTTCTTGAAGCCGGGTCATATGCTTCTTCCCCTTTCTATGTGCTTCCATCACACTTTCATTGTAGGCTCCTACTTGGCACATCTCACACCAAAATGTGCATATTTTCTTCTTCTTTTGCCCTTTGTTGGGGGCTTTCTGAACTCCCAAGTTTTTCTTCCTTGTATTGTCTGTCTTATCACTTTCTTCCGAAATTGACACATTATTTTCTTTTGTCCGTTCTGTACTTGAATTAATCTGAAGCGAAGATTCCCTAGTTTGATTAAACTGCGACAGTTCTCCCCTTGATTTCAGTCCCATCTCTGAGCTGATCTTATGAGCAACTTCCACTGAAGGCTTGATGTCTTTCTTGGGGAATGTGCCGATGCCAATATTATTACCATTCCTCTGCGCCCTCAAAGCAGCTTCTTTGGACTTGTGTTTCTTTCCTTGGATGTGATCATTCAGGCCCCGCTCACTTGTGGCACTAACCTGACAAAGCGCACAACTCCATTCCTCCTCCACTTTCTTCTTTGAAACTCCACCTGAGAGGTCACCTGCACCCTCTTCTTCCGGTGGAACAGCTTTCCGCTTTGCTCCCAAAAGTGATGCATCAGGTTTAGCCTGTGTAGAGAGCTCAAAAAATCCATAATCAAGTCCATAACTGTTAAGTACAAAGGGAAATGACAAGAACAACAATTATTAGTTTAGATCAAACCAAGTGTTCTGGCAAAATGTGTACCATCCATTGGCCATCTAGCTTTGAACAAAAAGACTTGATCTGCTCTATTTGAATAGAGTAACACCACTTATACATGCTAGAGAGAGAGAGAGAGAGAGAGAGAGAGAGAGAGAGAGAGAGAGGACTAGGGGCACAGAACAGAAGTTGTTTTCCTAAGCAGGCCAGGCCCTGATCTATTTTAGTTAATTCCGAGTACTATTTTAGCTGCCAGCTTTAGCTCCATTCACTTATCTAAAAAATGCCAGTAAGCATAGTCATGCCATTACAGCCTAAACCAGTTTCTAAATCTAAAAGTCACATGATGACAAGAAACATAGCTTCCAACAACGACTGTATTGAATTCCCAGTCTCAATTTCTCTCCAGAGTTGGGTGGCTTGTAACCAGTCTCATTGGTAAAACACATTATATCCTAGCATGATTTTGGATATAGTCTCCACTTTAAATGTCGTTTATTAACGCTTGATTATCCTGATCCCAGAAGGCCAAAGTGCAATAGACAATCATGAGTGATGAGACTTCCTGATCTAAACCATGAATGTATTGACCAGGTATGCATGGTTGAGATCAGTTGATCACGTCAGCCTCGACTGGCGATGGCACTCTCGCCCCCAAACTGTGAATTACCAACAGGGGTAAATTACATTGAACTCCCGAATTCTATACCTATTTACAGTTAAAAATGCCAATAGCTCTTCATTTTAACTTTGAAAAGCAGCTCTTCCCAGAACCTGTAATGCCACCCCATGACTCCAAGACCATATATTTATGAATTTCAAAATGCTAATGACATGTCTGTGAATTTATCAATAAAATCAAGAAAGATAACAAATGGTTAAATTGCAAAAGAACAAACTTTCAAATCCCAAACGTATGATATAAAGATGACCAAAGAAATTCTCTCAAAAGGATTCACAACCAACATCCTAATCAAGGAGGGCAAGATCTGATAGTTGATGGATTCAGCTTGTAAAACATATCAGATTGAGCTCGTGATTTACAAGTAGAATCCAATTAAATCCAAACCCAACAATTAGAATGAAAGTTCTTAATCCTGTCTTTAAGAAATCCTTGGATCATCTGTAGTCATACAACTTGGGGTTTGTTTATTATTGAACATAAATTACAACACAGAACTTCAAATGAGTGTACTAAATGAAAACAGAAACAATAAGAACTTGATAGATCAGAATTCACGACACCAAAAGGAAGAGTTGCTCCCAGCCAAATCCAATGAGAACACTACACAGTTACCACCAAGGCAAATGAGACAAGTATCAAAGGCAAAGAACAGAGAACCATAACCAATAATAGAAACAAAAAGAAATTATAAAATGGAAGGACATTTGCAAGCCAGGACCAGCTAAGGACAACGTCAACAAGATAATGATGTGCAAAACAGAAACTATCTATGTGAAAGTCTAACAATTGGTTAACACCCTCCCTCCCCGGTGCACAGAACAGGTGCAGAATATCCCCCCAGTATTTTGAAAGACCTTAACACAGTATCTGTTATAATGGAGATAATCAGCAAGTTTTTTAGGAAAAGCAATAAGTAGGTGGCACTCCTTTTCTACAGGGGGTGTAACCAGCAAATAACATCTTTCTCCAATGTTTGTCATAACAAAAGTTGAATTTCAAGAAGAGATGGTAAAAAGTCTGTAGATCATTCAAAATAGTGAGTCAGAGAAGTTCTTTTAAAGCTTGATAAACAATCTGACTGAAGTTCTTCAATCCACCACGGAAAATGATCTCCAATTATCAGCCACATCACCCAAAAAGACATGCAACCTTTTTTGTGGACCAAAGCTCACATATAACATCAACCTCAAATTCCGTTGGAAGAAAGTAAAACAATTGCATGGGCATTTATGGCTAGACATACAAAACCCTGTTTAATAAGACTAACAAAAACCAGACCTTGATACTCTACAAAACGGAGCATACAAACAATTTATGACTATAACCACAATCAAATGGTAATGATAGAACATGCCTTGAAGCTCTAAAAATGTTGTGATCCAAATGCAGGTGAACAATCTTACCACTTAACCAGATCCAAGTGTGAGAAATAGAAAACTACATACTGACCAGTATAACAATTTTGTCTTTTTTAACGTCTGCTGGAGATGACATAAACTCTTTAATCTTTGGCTCTATGCTTCCATGCTGAAGCGGCACCATCCCAAGTCTCCCAGTCTCATGTCTCTCCCTCATTCCTAGCCTCTCTTCTAGGGACATTGCAATTCTCTCCTCTAACGACTGCCCTTTATTATGCAGAAACAAAACATCTCTAGGCTGAAACTCCATCGCACCTCCAAATGGAAACGAAAACCTATCAAATGGATCAACTAGCCCTCTTCTGGCCCGAATGGCTAATTCTCTCTCCATCATCATCTCCCTCCTTACTTCAGCCTCCAGTGCTTGTCTCTCCGCCGCAATGATTTCTTCCCTAATCCGCTCCTTCTCAAGTTCTCTCTGAATTGCCTCACGGACATCGAGTCGATTCCTAATGTACTCATTTACTTGTCCAAAATCCGCATTAAAACAACCATTGGCCCATCCAGGGCCAGAATTGAAATACTCATTGGCCCTTCCAGAGCTTGGAATTCTATAGCCCGCTGAAACACACAGAAGCAAAAAAAAAAAAAAGAGGAGAAACAGATCAGTAAAATTTAAGTTTAAACTCTGCATCGCGACCAAAACTTTTCAGAAATTAGATTTTAGAGAAAAAGGCTAAAAGTATGTCGAAAGCCAATTCCAAAATTCCTTGCTTGCTCCAAAGATCCTCTCTCTCTCTCTCCAGCTTTTGGCCAAAATTGAACTTCTAGAAGGCCAGTTTTACATTGTTAACAAGTTGCTGGGTATAAAAACCAAATTTTTGTGTGAGAAAAAAAGAAAAGAAAAATCTCTCCACTCTAACAAGCGGCATGCATTGGGTCTAGGAACACGAACCATGACAAATCCAATATCAAAATTTCAGATTTTCTACAGCGAACTATAAATGCAGAGCAAATGCAGGAGCAGTAAAAACAATCCAATAAGTTAATCTCAAAAGTGAATCAATTATTCAGATTTACCACATGCAAACAAGTCAATCCAGTTACAGAAATGAATCAATCCAGTCAAAGAACAGTTTTTTACCAGCAAAAAAATGGAAAAAAGAAAAGAAACGAAAAGGAAAAAAAGGACCTCTGATGGCTTGTTCAGTGAAGTAACTGTAGCCCGAGGACGACGCCGTCGGGTGTCTGTAATACGGCTGCGGCGGCGGAGGTGGCGGTGGTTCATCCACAGCTCTATATTTGAATTCCATTTTGCACTTACCACTACCTATTTCTCTCTGTGCTTTACTTAAAACTGAAGGGACTGGAGAATTTAAGTGGGGGGGAGCTTTTAAATTGTTTCTTTTATGGGGGAAAGTGAGAAAATTGAGAGGCGGAACACGTGTACTTCAGGGGGAGTTTGAGACACGCGCCTCTGGCGGGAGGTAGGTGGCGTTCAGAAATTGAGACTGCCGCTATCAGTAGTATCGGAGCCTCATTTTCTGAACGGGTTGGGGGTTTTGTTCCGGCAGAGAAGCCGGCGAACGTGTATGCCAGACTCTACCACTGCAAGTGAGAAAGACAATAAGCAACGTACACATGCATATCCTGTTGTTAGAAGTAGAGAAAACGTGCGAGAGGAAAGAAGTTGGATTCGTATTACGCAATAATCTTTTAATTTTTTGTTTGCCAAACGAAAATATTGTACTTACTACGATGTAAAAGATTTGCCTTCCTTGTATAACAGCTCAATGAGTACGAAATTTATTGTTCTGAGGTGGATACCATAATACTAATTCAATGCTAATTAGGGTTATTATGACGGGTATTTTTTATTTATTATTTTTTTAATATAAGTATGAGATCTCAAATTCAAAATTTCTTATTTATATTTTCTTATCATCTAATCCATCCCTCGCTCCTCGAATGAAATATTTAGATTAGTGTATATCAGTATATATATATATATAGAGATGCATGTTCCAATTTTCCATTATTAGGCCACAAACACAAAGTCAAAGTTGGAAGCCAAAGCCACAAAGTTCAATAGTAGCAACATGTGAGCATTTAAGTACTATAGCAATAACCTTTTTCTTTTTTCTTTTTTGCCTTTTTGGTGCGAAAGTATTACAGTAACTCACCGTCCTTTTCTTATCCAAAACCAAAAGTGAGGAATGAGGTAGGGTGACTACAGGACTATACGACATGGCAATGACCAATCAACGATGAAGCAGTGGTTTGGAAACTTCACCGCTGCACGTTTGGGTCTCCCCTTCAATTAGTTACTGAATGCACGGATTCTTAAAAGTGCATTGAACGTTGAAATTTGATGGCTGCACTCGAAAACTATTCGCATTCCGACATTGAAAGACTTGTACATAAACCTTTTTTCTATTTCTTTTCTTTTTTCCCAACTGTTGGTGTTCCGATCCCTAGAGCCTTTCTGTATGAATTAGATATCTTTGAAAGTATTTTTTTAAAAAAATTGTACTTCAGGAATTATATATGAAAAAATTTTATTATAAATAATTTATTATTTTAAAGATATATTTTACAATTTTTTAAAGTATTTTTTAAAAAATTGAAAATAATACCGGTGGTTGTCACTGCCGCCCATTGCTCCTTTCTCCTCTCTCCTCCCTATCTTTCTTTCTTCCCCTTCTTCCTTCCTCCTCTTCTCTCTTTCCTCCCTTCTCCTTCCTTCTCCCGCCTCCCATCCCCCTTTGGTCTCGCTGCAACCAAATTGTGCTTCTCTAAAGATGAGGGTAGGAAAGAGAGGGAGGGCGGCAATGACGAGGGAGGAGGGGAGGGTAGGGTGGTGATATGTGGCGATAATAGGTTGTGGATGGAAGAAGATGAAGGTGGTAAATTTTTTTTATCTTGATTATTTGTTTTTTAATTGTATTTAAATTTTGTATGAATTAGATATTTTTAGAACTGTGCAGCTATAATATTTGTATTTGAAAAACTTGTTCGTGAACAAATCACTAACTCAAACAGAGTCCCATTCTCAGGCTTGGGAACTCTTCTTCATCCTTGCATTATTTCAGCGTCCGTGTGATGATGTAACTGAGCAAGAGGTTCTCAACGAATTTCAAACAGATACAAACTTCAGCACCTAACCCCGATGTGCCTCGCTAAAACTAAAAATTCTGCAGTACTGATTCAAACTGCACGACTAGCCTGGTATGTATGTGTGGTTTCATTTGCTTAAAACACTGGAACGAAAGCCTCATATTCTTATCCGCTAAACCATTGTAAAACAACGAAAATACCCTGATGTTGAATGAAATTAAAGGATGGCAATCAGTCAAAGCCAAAGATGACAACTTCAAAATCAATCAAAAACTCGAAAATGATTTGTTTTCTGCTTTTTGTTGGGGATGTGGGCGCTTACTTTTCTATGAGCATTTAACTAACGCTCTAAAGGTAAGCAGCGCAGCAACAATCAGGTCGCGTTTGGATTGTAATTTTTTGGAGATTTTATAAAAAATACAGTAGCGATTTGATATATATGAGATAAAAAGGTGATTAAAAAATGTGTTCACGTAGAGATTTTTTTGGTGAAGAATCCTTTCCAACCATGGAATGCAGTTCAAGAAGAGAAACGAAAGATTTTACCGGTGGCCAAAGCTGCAAGACTTTGACCAATTGACCAGACCTACCCTTCTTTCTTTGAAACTTCTTGGCTTGATCCATTGGTAAGCAGTCGACTTGACTCGAACAAGTTGCTCGCAAGCAAGAAACAATTTTGGCAGACTTTTAATCTCAGTTTGAAACATACCTGTAGATTTCATTTTTGCCATGGAATATATACGTATCACCTGAATGTTTTTGCTTAAATTTACAGAGATCCATTGAATGGGATCAAGATCACATATTTCCCCCCCTAAGTAGCAAGTAGTAGCAGCAACCGTACACCCTTTTGAGTTGGGCTTAATTTGCTGACTCAATGCATTGTGCAGGTTTTCCCAAGTTTGTACCCGTCCCCAAAATTTGTACGGCCAAAAATTGGATCAGCACAAATCCTCTCACCGCACGCATATGGACAGATTGAAGGATTTGGAACCTGTTGCAGGTAGAAGAGACGCTACCAATTTGTTTATTCGCCAACCAGGCAAAGCAGAGAAAGTGGGAATAGAAAAATGCCTAAACCTTTGCAAGCACTGGTCACTAATATATAGTTGAAAAGAATGTATTTGTATTTATATATATTTCCTTTGCACGGGTGTTGCATGACGAGTACTTTATCTTCATGAATCGCGCGTTCGCTATGAAAGCAACTCATACATGTATTTCATCAAAGGCTAGAGTTTTCACGTAAAGCAAAAAGGCTACAAGAAAAGGAAAGCAAGACCTTAATTTTCTTCGATTTCCAGAGTTGATGTACCAGAAAGGAATAGAGAACGAGGAGGTAAATCTGGACACCTTCTGGAACTAGATTAAGCAAGACTCAAAACTTTCCTTGGTTCCTCAGTCAAACCAGCAACGGACATTTTACAAAATCTAAGCAAAAGCCATATATCGCCTTATCATAATCCATCTGTAGCATCTATTACACATATATATGACATACATGACAGGTATCTGTATGTAAAACTAATTTTCCTTTACAGAGGAGGAAAACATAACTACATTGTCTAAGAGCCTTGCTGCTATTTTCCATATTGGCTATTGCAGCAGGGCAAGATTTTCCTAAGCCCACTAGCTAATGCTATGTTGATCTTCTACAGTATTTCACAAGCCGAGCATTCAAACCCTCAAAGCAACAGGGTCTTGCCACGAGATTTTTCGCTTCCCAATTCGAGATGAACCTTCCCCAACATTTCTACACACAGATAACTTGAGGTCATTAGACTGCTCTTCATTTCCACCTCTCATCGAACCTACCTTACTCTCCCCATTTGAAGGTTCGTAATTATTCTGTGGTTCTTCTTCCTCGGTCTGCAAAATCAAGCCGAAGTAAGCCCGTTAGAAAATGTCATAGATACCATTTGGAAGTTGTAGTTAAGTGAATGCAGTCACACATTATTTACCGATATCTCATTCAAGTCAAAGGTTGGAGCTCGACTACAAATTGTAGCTTCTTTATCACCAAGACTAGTGCCATTAATAAGACTGGTATCCTGATTCAAATCAAATAGCTGTCTTCTGCTTGCAAAGGCAGTAACATCATTTGCCACCTGCATTTTTTGGATTTTGTTCAAGTTGATTGCTGCTTCCGAGTTTGGAACTAAAGCTTCTGTGCCACTGGCTATCCTTTTTCTGAGGTTCAACTCTGAAACTGGAGTTGAACTACGAAGGTTAGCTTCCTTTCCACTATCTAATGTCTGCCTACGGTTCAAATCAAGTATTGGAGTGATATTTCTCATAGCGGCTTCCTTCCCAGAGTGCGTCTTTCCTTTGGGTTTGGGTTTTGGAAGAGGAGGCAACTTAAACAAAGCAGTTTCCCTCTTCTGCGAAATGCGACCCTTACCATTCAAGTTGTGTTGCTTCTCTACATTCAATGGCGGTTCTTGCAAGCGGTTCGACAACTTCATCTTCAATAGATACTTGTGTCTCCGTCGTAAAAACCTGTCATTTTAAATAGAAATCCACATAAGATAGCTAATTACTATTTGCCAAATACACGCAACATTAAGCGCATTAGTACAAGGACAACTAGAAAAGTGTCCACATGTATGCATTAGGAGATTAGGTAACCTATATTAGGCCTAATCAACCAAAGAATAATGCATGAGGGTAGATGATTATGGAAAACATAATTGCCTTAGTCTAGTCTCCTCCAGTACAAGTGTGTTTATCTGAGTCTAATTGGAAGATTGATATCAAACTCAAGCCACGCAATCGCTCTTAGAGCAACTTAATCAGCATGCTATTCTAGCAGATTGGTCATTACATGTATGAAAAAGTAAATCAAAACTAAAAAGAAATGCATAACACGTTATGAAAACCAAATTCCCACAAAAAGAAAAAAGCAAGAATTAACATTAAAAAAAAAAAAGCATACCGAACTTCAGCCATTAATCTCAGCTTCCTTTGTTTTGCAGCGTCAAATTTGTTTCTCAGGTCATCTGTATCCTGTAAGACAAGAAGTACATGATTTTAGTCCTCAGCCAACAGACATAGAAGTGGACTGAAAAGGACCATAAATTAACTTGATCTTTTCAGAGAAACTTGCAGCAAACCAGTTAAATCAAGACCGACATTAAGGACAACATACTGAAAATCTCCACAAAAAGATTATAATAGCTATAAGCCCAACAACTCTAGCCAATGGGTAGAACAAGAAAAATACGCAGCAGAGCATCAGTAATATAACTAACAAGCGCGCCAACCAAGAGGAGAAGAGGTTTTTTTTTTTTTTTTTTTTTTGGGGAGATGTGTGCGTGTGATTTTTTTATTGGGGAGAGGATTGGGGCGGGTTTGCTCAAATCTCTCATGGACATCAAAACATCACCAAAGCATCCCTTTGCGGTAACAAAGAGGAAAAACCGCAAGGACTTAAAATATAACATGACAGAAGACGCATACAATTCATTAGCTAGACACAACCACA